CTTACGCCCAAAGTAAAAAATGTTTGGTGATACTCGTCATCATGTATCGTTTTTAAAAATAATTTTCATACTTTCATATATTTATATGCTTAATCGTATAATAGTCACGAGGGTTGATGGAAACCTTAAAGCTCAAGTAGTATAAGTATATAGGGGTATTCAAAGTATTCGTTTTTCTTTCGAATAGGACCATTGAACAGAACTTGTGAATTCCAATCACATTACAGATAATTTTCTTTATAGAATCCAAGCAGATAAAATAAACTTCGAAACTTGGACTCAATTTCAATGCTCAACTTTTCTCTGTGAATTAAAACTTTCGAGGTGGCCATTGTGCCGTGTTTTTATTCCCGGGACTGGGACGAATATGTTCTATAAAAGAAAAACGAAACCACACACAAAATTGAGATTTATTTTATCTATATTATAATCTCAGTGATTAGAATATTAAAATATGTATTTATGTCCATTTACAGAGGAAGTGTAATCCTACTACGACATCTGTATGATAAATTGGTGCTGAGGACTTTGACCATTAGTTTCAATAAGCATTCTGCATCCGTAGGATCATTTTGATAATTTTTGGGTCAACGACATGGGTTTGGGTAAGATTTGACATTTTCTTACAACATTTTCCTTCAATGTACGAGTACAAGAAATCGTTTATTACACACAAAGAAAATCAATGGCTAAACACCCAATATTTATCGCAAATTAACCGAATATTGACATGAATTGTTTATATGGACGGCGTAAGTTCTCGCAATGAATATAACATACGATAAAAACTAACGTTATCCCGATTTGTAACTTGTTTTCAATAAAAGCTTTAAATTCTACGTCTGAACAAATCGCCTCTTAAGAATAGAAAACTCGTAACACATTCTTAACTCAGCTTACTTACCACAGTTTTACAATAAATAATATAGTAGGTCAAAATGCAGTATTCTTCAGCACATATTTAATTAATTGGTATAATAGCTCTAAGTCGCGATAGGCCCCAGGCAGGTTTTCTGCGTAATTCCGTTAAAATAAATCTAACACCTTTTGTCTTCAGTCACCGTGACCACGCACGCTGTAAAGCACGCGAAACGTCATTTAAAATTATGAAAAATAATTGTAAATACATAACTTCAATCCGGTAAAAAATTGTTTTATTATAAATGTGTGAAAGTTGTGTCAATAAAAGACAATACTTTTGTATATAGTTAATTTTTTTATAACATTTCTGGATATGTCTTATTATTTTATGTTATTAATATGTAAACGCTCAAAAATACATAGTAAGTATAAAGAGTAAGTAGGCCAGTTACTGACACCTACCAAAAACTAACTTTCATACAATAGTCCATTTAAATATATGTCATGGAAGAAATTTAATGAGTACATAACTCAGCTACTACGATAATTGTGATAATTGACTAAATTAGGAAGTACAAAGCAAATAACGTTTTAGCTATTATTGATGTCATTCTCTATTTAAACTCTTATTCATATTCTGACTACTGCAGTGTAATAAAGTAACGGTACACCTCATACGGCAGTATAAAACTAACATAAAACTATATTAGGTCATAATTTATGCCTGTAGCGAATAAATGTCGGGCTAGCGTGAAAGGATTAATTAATCAAAAATATCGTCCGTTAATTAAAACTATAATCTCGACATGGTAGCTAGTGGATATTAAATTAAAATGGTGTTTTGCTTACGTGTTATGAAATGTGGTTAATGTTTAGCTCATAATATTGATAGAAACTTATCGATATGAGATTTAAAACTTCGTTAATATAAATACGTATAACAGTGCAAAAACAAAAAAACTAAAGTAAAAAAATAACTTCATTTTACATTTTTTTAAAAGAATTGTTACACCAGGCATTTAAGTAACATTATTACAATACTTATTATTTAAATAATAAGTATTGTAATAATTAAAAGAAACTGTTCTAAGATGAAGGAGCCTTTGAAAAAAAATAGACTTTCTGGCTAAGTGCGCATTTTACATTCGCTTGTACAGTTAAGTAAAAAATCGTGAGAAAACCAACATAACTCTACTTCCTGTCTATAAAATAAAAATGATCAAGGAAACGTATGAAATCTGAGGCCAAGAGTTTTAGGGTCACTGGAATATTATTATTAGGATCAATATTTATATGAGAATTCGACGACTCATTGGCCCGGGGGGTTTAAACCCCCCCCCGCAACCCCCGGGGCCCCGGGCCCCCCCCCCCCCCGGAACAACCCCGGGGGGGGGGGGGGGGGGGGGGGGGGGGGGGGGGGGGGGGTTTTAAATTTTTTTTTCCCCCCCCCCCCCCAAAAAAAAATTTTTGTCCCCCCCCCCCCCCCCCCCCCCCCCCCCCCCCCCCCCCCCCCCCGGGGGGGGGGGGGGGGGGGGGTTTTTTTTTGAGAATTGCCTGTTTCCAGAAAGATCTTAGGTTTTTATCATTATTTTAGATCATAAAAACCTGGAGAAGGCTAATATTTGACACTTCAAGTATCAAAATCTGCCCACAGAGAGCTTATACGTCAAAATACAAATCAAATACGCATTGAATTATAGACCTCTTCCTTTGGGCTTTTTGATATCGGTTAAAAATAGTATAGACGAATGTATGTTATAACTATACCAACAGTTACTGTTAGTAAGGGTCCTTCGAAGCATCTGCATAATCACTGCATAATAACTCCAATTAAATACTTTCGTTTAAGAATGAGAGCGAGTCTTCCTTATACATATACGAACCAACTTAAAAAAAGGAAGAACATATTTTATTTTATTAATATATATGAAATATTGTTAATAAAAAATAAAAAACGCTAGTCGAAATAAGCCAACAAGTAAATGATCTGAGAAAATCTGTACAGACAAAATCTTAGAATTTAATTTTCATTCACAAATGAGTATGAAACACAACACCGTTCGGGTGGGTTTATCCACAAACGATTAATAGTCAAGCTTACCCAAGGACTGTTTGCAGATTAATTTACTTCAAGATAGCATCCTGACAGCCTCGCTCGATCTAGATATTACACACTATAGTGATTTTAAATATATTATCTACCATTATCTAAACTACGCAAGGGTGTAAACATCTAATATCATAATGGAAATACGAAAGCGTAGCGAAATATCTAAGAGTAAGATTCAGAGTCAAGGCTTAGAACTAACTCTAACTTCTGTATGTCCAATTGGATTATAATCATGTCATATCAATAGTTCATCAATCAGTTTCTTCTTAAACCAAAAGTTAAGTGAGTAGTTGAAAAGAAATTAGAGAGGCGACGACCACGGAAGGAACGACATTGTTTTGTTATTACGTTAAGATTGTTAAATAGGTACACAACCGACGGCTATTAGTGGTAGCTAAAAAATACTTAATATAACGTACATCTATATAACGACTTCCTCGATTTAACAAATTATTCGCAATTCCCTTGAATTGTCCATAAGAGTCAATGTAAAATATCCTTTTACATTACGAACATTTTTTGCGATCAACGTCTTTATAACGAATTTACAACTATCAAGAAAAATATATAAATACCTCTAATTAACGAATTTTGTCAACCCAAAACCTTTGTATAAAGTTTCCACCAATGTATTACTTTTAATCTCATATACTCGTAGTATGTGATTCATGTCGCGACAGATTTCGACACGCTTTTGTTCGTAAAACAATCATTGTTGTTTGATGGAAAGTAGGCAATATATTTTTTTACCTCTTTATAATGAATTTTAGACCAACCTAACCTCAACATGACAAACCTGGTAGGTACAACGAATATTTACTTGTTCCCTTCCGATTTGTTATATCGAGGTTGCACTGTATTACTATTTTAAAATTTTTGTTACAAATTATCTTTTATAACAGGTACAAGTAGTTTTTTTTCTAAAATTCTGCCCATGTTAGCCGCCATTACTCACTACATCAGCAACAAATCAATCATAAATTTGCATATCACCCAGAACGATAAGACCCATCTCATTGTAATCCTGATAATAAATGCAAAATTGAGTCATAGAGGTGAAAATGTAAAACGGAAAGCCACTAATTTTAAATTAATAAATTCTAAGCTACACTGGCATTTTCAACACTACCCGACAAAATGGAAATTTTTAAAATAATTTTGCTGCGGTGAATCGAAAACCGAGATTAACGGATTCGTAAGTGGGCAATAAGCATTTAAAAAATAATAATTTTTAAAATATGTAATAGCAATTAGGGTCATTTTTCGAGACTCGTAAGGAAAAATGTCACGGCACACCTTAGAGAAGGTCCTGCTAAAATTGTTAGTTATAAATTTAATATAACTTATTACTGTTAGTTTTAGTAAGAAATTAAAGATTATATTATATTTAAGGTCGTTTATCAGGTTGAGTTTAAATCGCCTTGTCGAGTACAAAATCAGATCTTTAACAAAAATATATTTCTTATCTTAGAAGTCTGACTTTCGTGCGTCAAAAATATATTGGAATTCGACATACGAGTTATAAGTCTCGTCTCTGATTCTCACCCTTTGAGGTCACCTAATATATAAATCTTTGTCTTCTTTCTTTCTGTCAAAAGGAATTCTTTTTATTCCTACGACGTTAGCCAAGCGTCACAAAAACTTGATTTATAATTTGGCGATGCGCCATAAACCCTTAACATTCCTCGCTAAATATTATTTGATAGCATTAATTCATAAATGTTCTATTATTATATAATAAATAATCGATATTAAATTATTTTTATTTTTTATTTCATTATAGGAACTAACATAATCTAACAATTTTTCTTTAATTCCTTTGATTATTTTTACCCGCTTTGTGGTCAGGTCTCAATTATGGTACGAAGAAAGTTGAAAAACAGATTTAAATCAAAAACAAATAATCGTTAAACTGCGACAATTATTTTTATCATAGGATAGGTGGCAAACGAGCAGGTGGTTAAAGTTAAGTGTTTATCGCCGCCCCTGGTTACCTACAACATCAGGATTCCGGATGCGTGGTCCGGCTTTAAGGTAGTGGTACGCTCTTCTCATGAAGACGCATAAGTCGAAACGGTTCAGAAATTAATGTAAAGCGTCGTGTAACACCAGACGTCAATGTGGAACGGGTGAAATTTAGGATTCTGTCTTTACGTCGAATTATGAAATTTTGCCGCAGGTAATCCGAAAAGTGGTTCGGAATTATATATGCGGTAGAAGATGCAGAAGATCCTTCATTTCTACGCACCGCCAAGGGCTTTAGCCGATCAGAAAGCACAAAGTCGTCGACGATTCGAGCCGCTCTGCGTTGGATGCGGTCAAAAGGCATTTTCAAACATAATGTCTAATCTAAACAATTCACGTATTCCCGTGAATAGTCTTTCACTTTATAGCCGCCTTATAAGAGCGCGGCCACACGATGCGTTAAAGGTGCGGTGCGGCGCCGCACCGCAACTACTTCGAGCTATAGGGTGCCACACGGGCGTTGCGGTGTGGCAATATATTTTACCCCGCCCCGCCTCGTCTCGCACGTCACAACTCCGGCGAGATTGTGGTGCGACGCCGCGCGGCGGAGCAACGCATCGTGTGACCGCGCTCTAAAAGATATGTTGGTCCGGTTGAAATTAAATTTCCAAAAATATATATTGTATTTCTACCTAATAAGCCTTCTTTTTCATGCTGTTATACTCAATCTAATATATAAGCTAGCTATTATTCAGTATAATTTCTCATGTATGTAACTGAATATTATTAGTAGATAAATATCTTATTCTCTATTGGATAATAGAGCAGTGTTGGCCTAGTGGCTTCAGCGTGCGACTCTCATCCCTGAGGTCGTAGGTTCGATCCCCGGCTGTGCACCAATGGACTTTCTTTCTATATGCGCATTTAACATTCGCTCGAACGGTGAAGAAAAACATCGTGAGGAAACCTGCTTGTCTTGGACCAAAAAAGTCGACGGCGTTCGTCATGCACAGAAGGCTGATCACCTGCTTGCCTATTAGATTAAAAAAATATCATGAAACAGGTACAGAAATCTGAGACCCAGACCTAAAAACGGTAGTAGCGCCAATGATTTATTTTTTATTTTAGGTAAATAACTTAAAACGATTTAAATCGGTTAAGTTACATGTTTAAAAGCCGCTTAAAAAAGGAAAGGTCATATAACTTATGTTAAGCTTGGTTAAAGTTTTGTTTAAATTTCACACGAAAGCGGGTCCTTTAATCTGCGGTTTAGGCTCCCAAGGCCCAACACAAACTGAGAAATACTAAACAAAGTTCTATTAAAATGACTAATTAGGTCTGGTTTTAGACATCAGATATCAGTAAATTTGCCTTAATTAATTTTGACGCTTATGCTCGTACTCGAAATCAGTGGTATGATTGTAATCGAAAATATAAGCTGAAGAAAAGACAGTGCTTAAAACTCTTTACCGGCGTAAATTTTACTTTTACCAACTTACTTTTACTTGTACGAACACCATTTGTATTTTCTGGGCACGTGGGGAATGAATCACTCGAACTATGGAGAGAGCATTCGGCAATATACTTTGCACTGAATGTTTTGATGGATAGAAGAGACTGCGTGGACCTCCGGCTGCGCTTCACTGTATGTGGCTGAAAAGTATATCAGATCCCAAAGGCATTCCCTGTATCCTGAGTGGAGCTATTTACGCATATGATTTCGTTACTTTACGGAATCTTCAGTTCTGCAGCTGGATATATTTGCGACAGGTTTGGGATGACTAAGAGACGAATGCAAGATGTTTTTTTTTATTGTTAGATGTTTAAGGCAGTATGATTATTATTATTAATTATTCTATTATTATAATTAGTCTCTAAGCAATGACGTTCTGAAATTGAGTTTATTTTACTGTCAATTTTACTGAGCGCAGTACCCCTTCCGAAGGTCGCCTGGTTTCCTCGAAAAAAAAACATACTCAGTATAATTGCTATCATAATAGCTATTATTAATAAATAATGAGACAATATTGTAACACAGTCAAACTCCACCTAGAAAAAAAAGCCTATTCAGTAAGAAAGCTTTGCTTAGCGATCAGTTTAAAATATTACAAACTCCATGGACTAATAAATCCGGACACATCTAAGAACAGACGTTTTTTATTCCTAACCCCAAAACGAAGGAGGCTGTTTGGCCGACGCACTTTTGAATTTAGGGGTCTCTTATCTATCTATTCTAAGATAGTCAAACCGTCTCGATATAACCTCACCAAATTAATAAAAATTATGCTAGCCGATTTGGATTTGGATTCAACATATTGTGCCATGACTCTGAGGTTCCAAAAACTAACACAGACACAGCTCACGCTTAAAACAACTCTCAACCACACTCCCAAATACAGTGGACAACATTTTCTTAAAAAAATTGTTTTAATGCACCATGTACCACGGAATAATTGTAATCTAGTTACCCATAACACAGGCGCTCCAGAATGTTGTAGCGTTGGATCAATTTTGTCACCGCCATATTTCTGTCTGAATAAACTTTTATTATTAGGAGGACATATTTGAATTTTAAAAAAAATACAAATTTATAATCTATGCTAGAACTGTTTATTTTTACCAAAAAGCCTTCGGTTGTTGGAATAAAAGCGTCAATTTTTTTTGTTCCAGGACTGGTACTGAAAAGGGGTTGCAAAAAAATCCTGTGATGTTGAATATTGTCTTTGGAGCCGTAGTAAATGGCTGTATATTTTAATTAGATTTTGCCCATTCGTATAATCAACTCTAGGCTTACACGCGTTGTTTGTTACGATTTGTTTTCGTACCTAGACATTAAAAAAAATCAACATTCAAATTCAAAATTTTAGAAAATATACGCAGGAACTCTGCGAATAAATAAATGTCAAATTCTTATTTTTTGAAGAAGTCACATGGCCCGAAGCTTAATTCATGTTTGAGAGTCAAATTGATATTATTTTAGCGACATAATGGGTGCGATTAGGGTAAGAGAATTTAAGGGATGTCATTTAAATTTATTTATTTATTTATATCGTCACGACCATTTCCTGAAGAGGTAGATCACGGATCTCCACTTACTACGGTCCTCACATACCTCTCCCACTTCATCCACTCTCATGGCAGTCACGATGCATGCTCCTCGGTTATGAGTACTTTTAACTAGTTCCCGCTTTGGTACCTCCTGGATTTGGTCCAGGTATTTACGAACTACTCAACCCAACTTCACCATCCACAGCTGCCTTATATATCCTTCTGTTAACCGCTTATCTCATTCATTTTAATTCCTTCGTAATATCTGTTTCAAAAAAGATTTCTACGAAAACGAAATTATATACAGCCTTATTGGGCGGCTATAACGTAAACAAGCGTTTTTTTAATAACTAAATATTCTGACTATACCATACGTAATTTAATAGTAAAACGCAAAAAATAAGCAAATAAGTTTAATAACCTTATGTACTTGTAACTAAAATCCAACCTATTTTTATTGAAACACGCCAATAAAGCAATGAGCATACCTGATGTATCTTTGCCATACCTACGTCAATGTTTTCTCGCGATAAGCCGCTTCATTTTCTGTTTCTTACGAATTCTTTGTGTGCTTATACCGTGTTTAATGTTAACATTTTTACAAAATGAGGCCTAATGATGTATAAATATCACTCCAAACCATATTAAGAAAAAAGCTTACTTTTGTGGAGGAAGAAAGGCGCAACCTAGTAACCTATTAAACGTATATGTATATATTCTCTGAGTATTACTCAACCAGTCTTATCACTGACTGGCTCGATATTATTATGGCCCCAGTGGCTAAGATTGAGAAGTTATATATCATTAGCGTTATCATATTCAAATTCAATTCAAAATCATTCATTTCGGTAACACAGTGTACACTTATGAACGTCAATACAGAATAACATATTATATTAAATGCTTCTAATTATACATTTACTGCCAGTTCTCAAATCAAAGTCGTAGAACGGACGAGAACTGGCAATAAACTCTCCGCCACTCTTTTAATCGCCAAGTTTTTTGTTTTACAAAATGTTTGTAAGGAGCTGCAACCATTACACCATGTCCCACATGACATCTTAAGTAATTAATAGTTAATTAATACTAAAATATAAAAATATACGTAGTGGTTCGTAACCGCAGAATGTAGAGGTAGTCTAAACTAAACAAATATTGAAAAAGACAATTAATTTTCTATCTTATAATAATCACATGCCGTGCATGTAACGTATCTCATTAGGAAAGCACCAACTCTGGGGTCTCCGGTACTGTATACCAGGCGCACACGTCATTAATCTTTAATTGAACCCCAGGGCCCAAAACTCTTTACTCCAAAAGGAACAAAAGTTGGAGAAAAGATAACTTTAGAAAGATTAGTGTAACTTTAAAGCAAGGTATTAAAGCCTTTATTTTATTTAATACCCACGAGGGTAGAATTAAATTGTCATTAAAAACGTAACAATTATAAAAGAAGAAATGTACGCATTTTGACAGATAAAGAAAATATAATTATTTGATTGAAATAAAAATACGAATGTGTAATGCAAAGTATTGTGTTCAATATGAAAAAGTTAAGAATTGGTACTTTGTTGGCAGGTTTCAAAATTACTTTAATTTAGTGTCTACAGTTAGGCATTAAAATTACTAAATAGATTTTTTTCAGGTATTTAGAGTATCCTAGAATAACATTCATTTTAGTTGGCATTTGAATTAGATATAGCAATGAATACAGCTTTTTGTGTTTTGTGCATTTATTGCAAAGTAAATCAGGATATATTTAACAAATAACTCTTACCTACGACTTAGTGTTTATTTTACCCAAAAATATATATTTTAAAGCTTTTAGCTACTAGATGTTTAAATAGTTGAAACGAAATTAAAAGAAACAAAACCCAATCAAGTTTTCAATAAAGAATTAATTTGCATAAAAATCTGTATAAACATTTGAGAGGAATCCTCAATCAAAAATTTAATTCATAAATTTTCGAACCATTGGGCAGCCAACGATAGTCATAAATCAGAAATAATACGGGCGGATTCTCTCTGTGACAGCCTTAATAAAAATACCTTAAAATCATATATTTAACTACGGTTATATATATGTTATGATAATGTAGATGGAATATAACAAGAAGTGGTTAATTTTCCGAGGAAACAATATTTGTTTCGGGTTGAGCACAAACATTATTAAACGAAGGAACATCTTTGATCCAATGCAGGTTATGTCTCTTACAAGCGTATCTAAAGTCTCAAAATAATGTAATTATAATATGATCCCCTTAAGTATTGTTTATTACGTATGTGACAGCAACCACAGACAACGCGCCGTAGTTT